GATGCAAATGGTCGCAAAAGCACACACACACACACACACACACACACACACACACACACACACACACACACACACACACACACACACACACACACACACACACACACACACACACACATCAACAGACCCTATATTTTTTTAAGTCAAGACTCATTGGAGTGCTGCCAAGGAGGGGCCGGTAACAGGGCTAACCGTCGCTGTGCGTAACAGAACGGATGTAGTATTTGATAACCGGAGAAAGGGAAAGGGTCGTATTGCAAAAGCTTTGCGCAACGTGATGTTGTACCCTGCCAGTGAGTCGAGACATGTTTATGTAAAACGACGAACTCTAACTGGAATATCAGCTGGCCCTCTCACCACCCAGTAAACCCTTACATGGCAAACCAGTTTCCAAATTAAAATTTTCTTGAAAGAGAGTCGGAAGCGGGATGTGTCTTGGCGTACGACGTTGAAGGCGCTCATGGTATGCGCTTGGAGAAAAATATATTTGCATTACATCCCTAATAAACCATTGTGTACTTCCAACACAGCTTCAGCTTGTACACCTATTAGTGTAGCAATAATACTAGGATGCATCTTTATTAGTCGTCACTCTTCATAACATAATTGTAGCATAGGTGCTGTCCCGGGGCAGTGATCGCCCGTGATAGAGCATTTTAAGCGCGCAACGTATCCCCTGAGAGGATGTGGGCTCTTCTAACATCTAGGTTCTGTGTGGTCCGTTTGAGCGCAACCAGGCCACACTTCCTCTGTCTTGTCCGGTCGCGACAGCATGTATCACAGTTGTACTACTTGACAGCCTACACTTCGACTTACACTTCGACTAAGGAGGTAATTTTCAGTCTTTTGTTGGCGGATCTTACCTTGTCCATGTTAGAATATAATTATGCGAAGGGTAAAAAACGGACTAACGAGGACCTATTTTTACCTTACAGATATATGGATGACCTTCTGGTCATACACAACTATAGTGAACGATATATAGATGATCGACTGAGCGAAGTGTACCAAAACTCCTTAGAGTTGAAAAAAACTCATTTCAGTGATAGTTCAAGTCATTATTTAGACCTCAAGATAAAAACAAAAAACAATAAAATAATTACAGAACTTTACAATAAAACAGATGACTTCAATTTTAAGGTAATGAGATTTCCCCATAGCGACACTAATATATCCCAGATTAATAAAGGATACCCGTTATCTATACAGAAACACTAGGAATAGCATCAACCTGTACACTACTGGAAACATTTGAGGAAAAGATAAAAGATATGACTAAAGGGCTTCAAAGCAACGGATATAGTAATGAATTCATATTGTCTAACATAATTAAGTGTATCTATAAGAACAAATTCATTTGTTATAAATACGGAATAGATAACAACTTCAAAGAATTCGTCGTTTAATAACGAATGCAATGGAAGCATTGGGTTGAAGTAGATAGTCAGAAAGGACAACTATGTTTGTCCAATGTTACTTTGGTCTACGTTTTTTTTTGGTAGCATGCAATTACCACATAGTTAATATGCTCTAATTTGCCTGCTGGCCTTCTCTACTGAGTATTATATTGAGAAGATATCATGCCTCATGGGCCCATTACTGCATATCCTATTCGCTCCTCTACACTTTCCATTCCCTGTATTTGCTTGATAGTTTGAATTGGTTGTGTTTTTTCTACATTTCCTGCTCTCTTACATGTTTACCACTGATTCCACCAATTCTTTTGGTTTTGTCTTCCCCTAATCACTGAAGAGCCTCAGGGGAAGTGCAAACAACAGTGGTTCGTCTGATTTTTCTAGAGGCGAAACGAACCACCTCTCTGTTCTTATGTTGCATACTTGTTGTAACACATTATCACTGCTTCTATTTATCCTTTCCTCTAGTCATCCGCTGCT